TCCTCTCTTTAACAATGAAACTAGCAAGTGGTTGGCACAAGAATTTGAGAACATTACAATAACATAGCACGTGTGAAATTTGTTTCTTTGACAAGCCATTCCTACTGCCTCCAATATCGAAAAATTCTTTCATCAAATCAAGATAGATGGGCAATTGTTGGAGCATCTCTTCATCATCAAGGAAAAATCCTGTGGATCTTCGGGTTGTAGATTCATCAATTCTTGATTGACAGTCAAATGAAAAGATTAACAATCCAGCAGAATAAAGCGCCATTGTAGAGCCAATAAGTGGTATAGCCTTCAGAAAAAGTCAAATGTATTTTACTAATAAGAGCACTATTCCCAGCAGAGAAAAGGACTATAACATAGAAATGAACTATGACAAACCTGAGAACCAGCTAACCTATTTAACTGTTCTGCAACAGCAGAACAAACTACTGGAGATGCATTCTGACATCTTTGAGCACAATAATGGACAATCTCCAAAAACTCCATTATTGTGTAATCCACGTTGAGCTGTTGATTAAAATTAAATTATAGCTAATGAAAACTCACTTCAATAAAGTATAACCCATTGCTGAATCCAACATTCTCAAGATAATGAATAATTGGATAGTCATCTGATCAATATAATTACAATAAGTGTCAAACTGCATTAATTGCTGTTTATTGTGATGAATATTGCACCAAAGATTTCTTTGTCCAAGATAGCTGCTGGAGATCGCTTAATAACCTCTATAGTACAGAACAAAATACAATTATGAAAAACAGGCATTCTGTGTAGTAAGTGGCTTGTAGTACAGTAATATAACCATCATTAATGAATTGAAAAATCTACTCTAGAACCTAAAAAATTCAAGCCAAGGTGAGCTTTCTGAAAACTACTGCAATAAGCATACATCCAATCTCTAGCCAGGAACTGAAAAAATATCTCTAAATGAACTACTAAACAACAATCACTGATTTTTTATTGCATAGGGAAGAACAAAGAGTTACAATTAAAGCAAGCAACTAAACAGGTGAGGATGGAAGCTGGAAAGATGGCAAAAAAGAAGTTCAAATTAAGGGGGCAAGAAGAGAAGTTCAACTTAAAAAAAAGATAAATCAAGTTGCAAGGTCTATCGAAACAAATCAATTTGCTTAAATGTAACCAGCCTCTGGAGAAAAAAATGGGAAATCAAGTCACTCAGCCTTCATACCTCCAGTTTAATGTTAGACACATTGGCCATTAAGTTGGTACAACATTATTAGGAATTGGTTTAGCAACACTCTTGAACCTAATACTTCACTTAAGTTATTCCACCCATATTCAGTGGATTTTGCAAATTAGAAGCATCCAATTGCTTCAAAGAGTAAATAATTTCCAAATTTAACTCTAAATTAACAAAAATCAGCAACTAATCTCAAATTTAAACAACAGCAAAACAAATGGTATTGAAAAATTAAGGAAGAAAACTTGTTCATTAATTAGTCTTTCGTTACCTTGCAATCAGAAGCTAAGGTGCTCAACACAAAATTTAGTATGCCAGTGATATAAGACAATTGGCAACTCTTTTTTGAGAAAAGGCAACAGCATATTCTCAAAGCCAACTGTCAAGGGACCCAAAAAAAAAACAATTAGACATAGATCCATCACCTAAATCAAAAGCTCAAACATATAATAATCTGTATTTCACCTTGTAAACTTGATCTTGAGATCTTTTGAACACAGAAAATGTCACATCACAAAATTCGAGCACCAACTCCAGATCAAAAAACGCCAGTTCCTCAACCAACTTCACAGCAATTTTAGATATATGCCCAAGAAGTACCTTATGCCATTTCTCATATGCATTGCCATCTAAAACACTGAACCATCAAAATTAAAACAAATCCTGTCAATAAACGACCCCATTACTCTAAAGCTACGACTATTATAACGACAATTACGTCCATAGGCCCTCAAACCAACAGGCAAATGCAATCCCGAAAATAGCAACGCATTTTGAACAATAAGATTGTTTCATGTGAGCACACAACACACTTGCATGTGCACAAATTGCGGTGTAGATTAGTATTCATATGGGAAGGAAGAGACCAACAAATAGACGGCGAGAGAATCTTACTCAAACCAAGGTGTGGCTTCATGAATCAAAGCTATAACTCGCTTATAATCATTCCCATCTTTACTTTGATTCACCAAAGCACATTTCGTCAATCTGACGACGGTCTCCACAACCAAGCCAGCAAATAATTGATCCGCGTCCTCTTCGTCCAACCTTGGCAGCAAGAGTTTCTTGAACTTTGCCCCCGATTTCCCAGAATTGATCCCTCTAAGACCATCTAACACTGAGAAACATTCTGTTTCCGCCTCTTTATACAATTCCCACGCCTCCAAACAGTGAACTAGTCGAAGCTGTTGAAGGTAAATAGCGTAAGTCTTACACTCTAACTGCGAAGAGACCAAATGTAGGCAGTTGAGGCAGAGGCGGTAAACATCGAACAGTTTAAAGGCTGAATCGCGGGAAATCTTGTTGGGGCTTGTGGCTTGGGCTTCGGAGGAAAGTCGTTTGGGGAGAAAAGAGATGGAATTGTTAAGAAATGGGAGGAATTGCTTCGCAAGAGATCGAATGGTGGTGGTTTCTAGGGTTTTGGGGGGCCTTGACGAGGGTTTTTTGGGTGCTAGGTGGGGTTTGAATGGGTGGAGGTAGCTGGAGAAGAGGGTATAAATGTCGGCAAGATCTGCGGAGGACTGAAGTTTGGAGAGTAGGGAGGACTCCGCGGCGGAGTTCATTGATTGCTCTGCCGTCACGGTAGTCGTGGAAGTGGTGGTGAAGAAGGGTTGGGAAATCTGAAGATAAGTGATGGTGGACTTGAAAAACAACTGGAAAAAAGTGGATGAGCGGGAAAGTTAGGCGCCTTGGATTATATTCAAACCAGCTTTGACTTTTGAGGTGTATGGCTAAGGGACCTGATCCCTGGCTGCCGCGGTGTAACGTTCAGTAGCAGTAGGATACGGGGCAGGAGCGATCGTCAGGCCGATCGCTCCTGAACGGTCCTCTCACAAGCAAAAATATGAGGAGAAAAATGATCTACGTCAAGAAGGCTTAAGAAGGGGTAAAAACGACGCCGTTCCAAATTAAAAAATTCGGGCTTCCAAACGGAATTAGACGGAGCAAACGGTAGAGTTGAAATTTTGAAAAGCAAATTGAAATTTTGAATTAGCCGCACAAAACGAAATTGAGGGAAGAGGCCTGGCGTACTCCGTCTAAAGATAGGGAGCTCAGTTTTTTTTTTTCAGAAACCTCGTATCTCAGTTTTCTTTCTTAGAAAACTGTAGCACAGAATTCAGAGAGCTGAAGGAAGAGGCTTGGCGTGCTCCGTCTGAAGATAGGGAGTTGACAGAAAACTCTTATCTTAGTTTTCTTTTCTCAGAAAACTCGACACAATTTCCGTCCAAGAGTGTTACCGAGAAACTGAGAAGAGACTTTGGTGACTGGGTCAGCAAATGTTGTATCCATTTTAAATGCTTACAAGGCTTGCAGGAAGGTAGAAGCAAACAGAGGAAATTCAACATGTCATAAAACACCAGATTCTGTCCTTCAACTTAATAGCAGAAGCAGCTGCACTCTCTGAATTTGGTGAAATGTAGAGTGTATTAGCAGACGAAGGTAACGTGACTGAACCATATAACTAACTGTGGCCAATTATTTGTCATCCAAATGCACATCTGTTAAATGAAAGATGAAATTAGATTCACTGAAGACATCATATGAAGATGATAGAAGAATAGTAAAATTGTACCGTATCTATGTGTGTGTGTGAGCATTTAGCTTTTCAGTGATGAACTATAATGGGATAGTAGTCATCGGAAGACCCAGGGGTATGTATTGAAATCAAGCGGAATTAGTGAAAGATGAGAGAAATAAAGTCACATTTAATAAGTGAACGAATGTACATCCTGTTGTAAATTAGTTACAGGTTATAGGTACTGTATTACAATTGATATGAATCATTGTGCATCTAATAGTTGGTCCATACTCATGACACAATCTTAGTTTGCCCTTCTCTCCTGACCATGCAGTGTGTATATAATGGAGGTGCAGAATTAAATGAGGTAAAACAGAGGAAAAGACCGACCTATGTGAATAATAAATGGGTGTACCTGGTGTTGTAAGTAAATTACATGATGTAATAAATATATTACAATGAGTAGAAAATATTTATTTGGCCCTCAAAATATAGAAATAGTAAAAAATACGGAGTTGGCTTAGGCGGTTGTCATTGACGAATGACATAAGGTCCAGTGAACAAAGTACCTAGAACCTAAATATAATCATTCGAGTGGATGTACATGCAGTTAAAATATACTTACAACATGTGACCAACACATTACAATATGTATAACTTATTGTACACGGAGTTGTATTTGTACATACATAATATCGTTGTCTTAGAGTATAATAGGATTTGGTGTACGAGTATTTGTACAATATTAATCATATTGATGAACGTAATAATAGGATTTGGTATACGAATAATGTGTGTAACACAACACATTATGAATGGTAATATACATTTATGTTGTCGTTTATGTACATACCATTCATGAACTGCTGCAAATTAAGGTGTTTGATGCATAATTAGTAGGAGCAGAAGTAATGGATTGTAACAAATTGGTAGAAGATAGGACCCCTGAATTAGAAATGGAGTTCAATAGTGAAGAGGATGCGCACAAGTTTTACAACAACTATGCCTTTAAAACGGATTTTAATGTATGCAAAGACTATCTAAATAAAGACAAAGACGGTGTGACGACGTCTAAGAGATATAGTTACTGCAAGGAAGGTGTAAAACGCAAGTACGAAGGTGATGTGATGCCAAAAAGGACACGAGCGCTGACGAAAACAGGGTGTGGAACTAAAATGGTTATTGTGTTGCTTAGAGAGATAATGAAGTACCGTGTACATGACCTTATCTTAGAACATAACCATGAGTTGCATATTGCTTAATGTTCGCACATGATGCCATTACAAAGAAAAGTGAGTGAGACTCAAGGATTCCAAGTTGAAACAAGCGAGAATGCTGGGATTTCATTGAAGCAGAGCCATGAGCTTATGGGAAAGGAGGCAGGTAGGATGGAAAATGTGGGATATACTCGGGAAGACCTGAAACGATATCTTCGTACTCGACGGGAAAGGAGTTTGAAATATGGAGAAGCAGGTAACATGTTGAATTATTTTCAAGAGCAAACACTCGAGAATCCATCCTTTTTTCATGCCGTACAACTGAATTGTGAAGGGCAGATAACTAATATCTTTTGGCCTGATGTAGGAATGTTAATTGATTACAACTTTTTTGGAGACGTAGTCACATTCGACACAACCTACAAAATAAATAAAGAATATCGCCCACTTGGAGTGTTTGTGGGTTTTAACCAACATAGGCAAATTGTGATATTCGGTGCTGCCTTTATGTATGATGAGACTATAGATTCTTTCAAATGGGTATTTGGTACATTTCTAGAAGTAATGTGCGAAAAGCGTCCAAATACCATATTAACCGATCAAGATCACGCCATGGCAGCCGCTCTTTCAGTTGTCATGCCAGAAACATTTCACGGTCTATGTACGTTTCACATAAGGCGTAATTTTATGAAACATCTTGGCAATCATTACAAGAAAAATAGTGATATTCCATACATGTTTGGTGCCTGCATGTATGAGTTTGAAGAAGTGGAACAGTTCAATAGGGTGTGGGAGGCGATGGTGAAAAAATACAATCTTGAAAATAATAAATGGCTTTTCGAGTTGTATCGAATTCGTGATAAGTGGGCAATGTGTATGATGAAAGAAAGATAGACCGCGGGAATGCAAAGCACCCAATTTAGCGAAAGCCTAAATGTAGCAATTAAAAATCATTTGAAACTGGATCATAATCTTGTGCAGTTCTTTAGACATTTCAATCGAGTGATTGATGATAAGAGACATAATGAACTCATCGCAGAATATGAAATGAGGCAAAAGCTCCCTATGGTTGGGTTGAGGCAAACACCTGTGCTTGTACATGCAGCAGAGACGTATTCACCCACCGTATTTGTTGCATTCCAAAATGAATATGGCGAGTCAACAGCTATGGTTATATTGAGACAACAAGATGCAGGGATGTTTGTAGAGTTTGCGGTCATGAGATATGATGGAAGATCTGAAAGAATAGTGGTATTCATTCGGAATGATCTAAGTGTACATTGTAGTTGCAAAAAATACGAGAATGAAAGAATTTTGTGTGGACACTCATTGAAGGTGTTTGATACCGTAGGCATAAAGACAATTCCTCTTGAATACGTTAAGAGACGATGGACAAGAAGAGCTCGAGCTGGAGACTGTTTTGATCGGTAAGGACGGGAAATTATAGCTGATCCAAAAGCAATCATTTCAACTCATTATCGGGAGCTCGCTCCAGCCATGATTAAGGTTGCAACTCGAACAGCAATGTCGGAGGACACCAGTAAAATAGCAATCACTGTCACATCCGATTTGACAAAGAGAGTTGAACTTTTCCTCTCAGAAAGCGAAGAGCAACCTTTGCAAAATCAAAAAAAATCTGAATATCGAGAAATAGGATAAAATTGAAATTGTAAATGAAATAAGGGAGGCAGTAGTCGCAAGAGGCATTAAAAAATGAGGTGGTGGGAAGAAAAGTAGAATGATGCGAAGTTGGGTTGATAAATTTGACAGAGTAAAAAGAAAATCTAGACTGTCAAGGACTACACAGACTACGGTATGGATCAAAATTTGGTACTTGGCGAACATTTATGCTAAAACTAAGTTATCGTTATACTATTAACTAAAGTTTAGGTACCATTAATTATGAAATAATATTATTGCCGTGTCAATACTGTAGGTCTCAGAATCGGAACCAACATCTGTTTCATTTGAGGAATACATGTTTATGGGATGCTGTTCATCTACTGATTCTGTTTCGATTAGTATAAAATAGACATGACTGTTGCTTTTATTTAGATGTTTCTAACAGCATAAATAGTTACATTGATGTTACATTGTGTGATAATGTTGTTACGCCCGTCATCCCTCCTGATATACCTATTTTATTTGTCTTAAACAATGATTTGGCCCATACGAAACTCGTAGACCCATTCAATGAGTCAGACAGTGAATGGCCCTCTAAACGCTGTTGCTCCTGATATCGATGAAAGTGAAACGGTATGCATATATTTAGTAGTTAAAATAAAGACCTTCTTGTTCGTGTAGTAGAGCTATCTTTTTTTCTTTAATTGTAATTGTGGGCACCCGAACGTTGTCAAGTCATGCAAATTATGTAGTTAACGTCTGTTCGCTTTAATAACATATTATTTTTTATTATGCGAACCTCCACCGTTTGACTAATCAGGGGCCTCCTACAAGTGTCCCTACAGAATGGATGCATCCCAGATTATCTATTTTTTTCAAACATAACGCCGTCAGAGATATTTTAATGGTCTGATATATCATTTTTGTTATAATGTCTAGTCTAATTTAACGTTATAAGTGAGCAATATAGGCACTGGTAATGATTTGTGGACAGCCAATTACTTATACTACGTAATGTAGGAGGAGCGTGCGGCAATTTCAACACACTGTGATGTTGATGCATATCATGTATTTGCACCATCACCGCAGGTGACAAACTTTTATCATTAAAGCACATGTTTATGTAATATTGTTAATTGGAGACTTGGATATCGTATATCATTAATTGTATGTTTCATTAATAATATTTGCTGATTTGCCATTGTTTCGCATTTCAGGGAGGAAATAACACTCAGGGATTGCAACTACGCGTTGATGTGGCCTCTCCCGAGAATGAGATTGATGAATGATGTGTAACTATACTTTTTGAACGAGACATTAAGTGGCTGTTCCAACTTGAAAATTCTGCATATGTATGTTACAAGCAATTAATAATCTGTTACAACTTATTGACGAGGTTGTACAGGCACCATTGATGTACGAGGATCTTTGTATTACGAGGATGAGTATTACGGATAGTATCACAAGCTTATATCAGTAGGTATTACTCCTTCAGTATAGAAATGAAGTTACAATTGATGGCTCGGCTTGGTTCCCATTGACCACATAATAAGTAACAGTTTCGTAGAAGAACATGATATTTCGTTGGAACTAATTTGAAAATAGGGTAACTAATATTTAAAATACAACAAATTTTGATTACGCGATATACATTTTGAGTTACAACCAGTTATGTATATTTTACAAATCATTACAACTAATAAATTTGTAATTGACAGTTTTTCGGATATCTAGTTAAAACTAGTGATATTATAACTAGAAATTTCCTGATATTACAACTAGTGATACTACAACTAGTTAATATCCGATGAACATTTCCTCTTTTCTTGTTTGTGCTATTGCCCTCGGTACAAACAATAAGTCCTCCCCCCAACACATAAAATTTCTTAGACACTTTAGTAAGTATCTAATAAGAACATAGAGATGGCCGATTTGAACCCCAAAACAATTGATGTAGCGAGATCTTCTCGAACATTTCATTAAATTAGCGAGATCTTCCTGAACATCATGCAATCTACTGGCTGTTCTTTGGCACCCAAGAATTTGATTTCTGTGTGAACCCTCTATTAATGACACTGCAATTGAAATTAGAGGAGGATTGAAGAATACTAATAACAAATTTCAGGCACGGGTTCATTGTCACCCTTCAGTAGAATAAAATGGAAAGTGTGAAGAATAAAACGGAAAAATTTTTCTCTAACTGGGATATAATACTGCAACCACGCCCTTTTACAGTGCGCAGGACCCTCACAATGTGCTAAAATATGCCTAGACAACGCATTCCAGGCCAAACAATTTTGTCATGGCAGTAGAAACTGTAGAGTTCGATGTATGCCATTGAACTATGTCAAATCTGTTCAGACAATAAAACAAATTATGCAGATTTTGTAATGAAATGACCTGTGCACCAATATTTAGAGTCACGTGTATAAAGAGTTACACATCAGTGACATGTACGTTTCACTATGTACGGATTGTGTTACAACCAGTTAGGTGTGTGTTACAATTCATTATAACCAATGAATTTGCAATCAGCAGCTTTTCGTCTGCTGTATTTAAAACTGAATAATATTTCAACTAGATATTCCCCGATGTTACAACTAGTGATAATACAACTAGTTAATATTGGATTAACCTTTCCACTTCTCTTGTTTGTGCTATTACCCTTCAGATAAGCTGGCAGATAAGCTGGCATCAGACAGCTTATCGAATTTTTTCATTTTTAAAATTCCTTCCTGCAACCAATAACATGGACGAGTATGAGCAGTGTAAAAGACATCAGTAATAGTGCGTTGGCTCGTAATACCAATTTAGATATGATGCTGACAAAATTTAGCACATAATAGGATACAGTCCAAATTTCAAACTCACAACTGCTAGAGGTTCAATGATGTAGCATTCAAACTTCATACTTTTGGTAGTTCTTCCACCCCAATTCATGAGACGGGCAAACATGTCAACCACCTAATCAATATCTAATGGTTTCCAAAACATGTAATTGACTGTTACAATTGCGTTTACGTATCACTAATCAATCAATAAATTGACGCTCAAATTTTTTTAATAAACATAATAAACTACTGATCCGATTCGATACATGCATGCCATTTTCGAGTGTCTTCAAGTCAAGCCGTGTCAGTGAGAATTGAAACATTTGAATAAGTATGTCCCTATCAAATCCGAGCCACAATTGAACGATTTACTAATAAAAAATAATCGTACTCCAAAAAACGGACATGTAATAATGAAGTCAATTCTCATCCATTTTCATACTATTTTCCTGGGCCATCTTACAATGAACCACATGCGTACTCATCGAAGAAAATGGCTCACAAGATCGAATTAATAGTTTTGTCAAGAATCTTACTTGGGATTTTTGTTGGGGTCCCATGCATATGCAACCACATTTTTATCGTACATGCTTACTGTCATAGGTGCAGGTAGAATGAACTCCGCTGACCGCAGAACGATGCTCTTCTTTGTTGCACGTGTAGACTTGTGTTTCATCTCAACGTCAGGACCTCCTAAAAAACAATACTCCTCCCTTAAAGGCAGCCTTGACCTCAAGGCTAGAACTCAGGAAATTGCCTGGTGATAAAATATTAATCCTCCCACGATGCCTCTTCTTCCCCTAGCTGATGCCACTTTATGAGGTACTGGATCACAGGAACACCATTGCACATGATCACTCTCCTTTGTAAGACCTCTGCAGGCACTGATCATAGCCATCAAGTTCTGGTAGTGTAGGAGTAGTGGACTGATGGGGTCCCAACTTAGGCTTTAGAAGTGATACATGAAAAACTAGATGCACCTTAAGCCTGGTGGAAGCTTGAGTTTATATGCCACAACCCCAATCTTCTCCACTATTTGAAAGAGTCCAAAGAATTTTGCAGTTAGCTTTAAATTTTTCTTGAGTGCCACCATCTGTTGTCTATAAGGTTGCAACTTCAAAAAAACCCAATCTCCCACCACAAACTGCCTTTCTGTCATGTGTTTGTCAGCAAAGGTTTTCATTCTATTCTGAGCCTGATGCAAGTGCTCTTTGATCCTGTGAAGCATTTGGGCTCTTGTCTGCAACATGTCATGAGCTGCTGGTATCAGTGTATCATGGTAGGGTCCCAAAGGTAGTGGCAAAGGCTTGTGCCCATATAGAGCCTCGAATGGGGAGACTCCCAAGCTAGTGTGGTATGCAGTGTTGTACCACAGTTCAGCTAAACTGAGCCAGTGGCTCCACTAAGTTGGACTCTCACTGGTCATGCATTTCAAGTAGGTCTCTAGACATTGATTCAGCCTCTCACTCTGACCATCAGTCTCAAGATGGTAGAAAGAACTATAGTGTAGCTCAGTTCCAACCATCCTGAACAGTTCCTGCCAAAACCCACTAGTGAACACCCTGTCTCTGTCTGTTATGACGGATTCTGGTAAACCATGGAGCTTGTAGACATTATCTAGGAAGACTTGTGCTACTTGGGCAACTGTGAAAGGGTGGGAAAGTGGTATAAAATGACCAAACTTTGTCTGTCGATCTACTACTACCAGAATAGTGTCAAATCCCCTAGAGGAAGGTAATTTCTCAATAAAGTCTATAGTAATATGTGACCAGGCCTGAGTAGGAATTGGTAGAGGGGTTGCAGTAGCCCTGGATATGGCACTCATTCACTTTTGTTTCTTTAGCAGACTTCACACTCTTGTATGAACTGTATGATATCCTTATTTATCGCTGACCAATGGAATATGTTGTACACCTTCTGTATGCAAGCTCTTTGACCAGAATGTCCCCCAATGAGGGACTCATGTAGAGCCTTGATTATTTTCTATCTAACTCCCTTGCTATTTCCCACATACAACTTCCCCTTGTATCTGAGTATCCCTTGATTGAGTTGAAAATCAGAGTCTTGTGGTTTAGGATCCAGCAGTAGTTGACTCATCAACTCCCTGCAATGTGTGTCTTCAGCAGCTATCTTGTAGCTCTTGCATCCATAAGGGTTGAACACTAGTAAGGGCCATCAACTGCTGTTGTGCAGGTTGCTGATCCAACATGGTCCTCCTGGATAGAACATCAGCAACAGTGTTCTCTGATCCTTTCTTATACTGGATTTCATAATTCAATCCTAACAGCTTTGTCAACCACTTGTACGGAGCAGTAGTCGTGAGCCTTTGTTCCAGTAGAAATTTCAGTGATTTGTGATCTGTTCTGATAATAAAATGATTCCCAATCAAGTAGTGCTTCCACTTTGTTACTGCAAAAACTAATGCCATTAACTCTTTCTCATAAACAGATAGCCCCATGTTTCTGAGGAAGAAGGTCTTGCTGATGAATGCTATAGGGTGACCCTCCTGTAAGAGGACAGCTCCCATGCCTTGCCCACTTGGATCAGTCTCTACTACAAAAGGGATACTAAAATTGGGCAGTCGTAGCACTGGGGCACTACTTATGGCTTGTTTGAGGTAGTTGAAGGCTTTGTCAGATTCAGCATTCCAGTTGTAAGCATCATTCTTCAGTAAATTAGTCAATGGCTTGCTAATGGTTCCATAGCCTTTTATGAAACATCTGTAGTAACCTGTGAGGCCTGGGAATCCCCTGAGTTCTTTAACATTCCTGGGAATAGACCATGTCTGTATGCACTCCACCTTGCTCACGTCCTTACTCACCCCTCTGCTAGACACCACATGTCCCAGATACTCCATCTCTTGCTGAGCAAAAGAGCATTTGGAGATCTTAGCATATAGCTGATTGTGTTGAAGCACCTCCAGTACTTGCCTGAAATGCTCCCTGTGGAGATCCAGGGTAGCACTATAGACCAGGATATTATCGAAGAAAATCAGAACAAATTTCCTCAGGAATTGTTCAAAAATCTGATGCATTAATGCCTGAAAGGTTGTTGGTGCATTTGTGAGCCCAAAAGGCATCACCAGAAACTCATAGTGTCCCTGATGAGTTTGGAAAGCAATTTTGTGAGTATTTGCTACCTTAACTCTGATCTGATGGTAATCTGACCTCAGGTCAATCTTGGAAAAGAATTTGGCTCCATAAAGTTCATCCTGGAGTTCATCAATGTTAGGAATAGGATATCTGTCCTTAATTGTTTGGTCATTGAGGTGCCTGTAGTCCATACAAAAATGCCATGTATTGTCTTTTTTCTTGACCAGCAGCACAAGTGAATCATAGGGACTATTGCTTGGCTTGATGATTCCTGATTTCAGCATGTCTGCAATTTGTCATTCAATTTCTGCCTTCTGTGAGTGAGGATACCTGTATGGTTTCATTTTGAAGACTCGTGCTCCTAACTTGAGAGGGATCTGATGATCCAAGGGTCTGTTAGGGGGCAACTGAGTAGGTTCCTGGAATACTTCTGAAAATTGCTCCAACACTGTAGCTATTGAACCTGGAACCCCTTGCCTTTCTGTTTCCCTATCTCCACATTGTGCTGAAATGGCATAACATTTCCTCTTCTCC